CCAATTATAAAGATAAAAAAAAATATTACATCAGGAAATTGTTACATAATTAAGAATATCATAATAAACTTTTGAATTATCGTCAATGGGATTTTAGTGGGTTCAAGTATGAATAGGAATTAAGAATTTAAAAAAAAAAACACGTTAAAACTGAAACTCATGTATAAATTTACTATGCAACAGTTAGTAGAAAGTCTACAAATAATATTGGTATAGCAAAAAAAATGACATTCATAGAACCTATTAAGTGAAGATCCCAACCTTCCAACCGCAATTCGTTTGTAAAAAAAAATAATAATAATAACTCCAACAGTAACCTCCTAATGGAGGAATGGTTACTGAATCTTTAATTTAAGTATAATCAATCATTAAAGGCAAGAATAAAAATGCACAGCTAAAATCAAATAAATGAATTCCACAATTCTAAATCATATTATCTTATCTTTGAAGCAAAAGCAGTAAATGATTTTTCCATTGTTTCACTCTCCAACTAATTAGTAATTACTGGTTCATTGAAAAGTTTTCAGAAAATGGTAAATGAAATTTTCACTTACAGCTAAACAAGTCAGGACTTTGCACCATATTAGGAATCAGAAGATGAAAAGATGGAAATTCCACTGCACCAGAGCATCAACCATAATTAGTATGTGAAGAAAAACTTCAAAGAATGAAAGTAACTAAATCTTAAAATCTGTGTATTGAAAAACTGGCCAAGAGAACTGATAGAGAGACAAAGGTGAGTACAGTTTCACTGATGTAAGCTCTATCTTGTCGAAGTTACTGAAATATTTCTAGTAATTGGAAATGAGTAAAGACCTCAGACGACAAGTATGCATTTTTTAGTACTAATATAACTCTTACCAGAAGACAAGCGAGCCAACATGCTGAAGTATCGGTCCCAGCCAATGGAAATAATGAATTCCTCAAGCAATGAGCCCATGTATGTACTGAAGAGAAAAGATAAAGACAAATATCACATTTTAGATCTATGTACTAATTACAATTTTGAGAAGCAAATAAGAATAGCAAAATTAAGTAGATGAAAAAGTTGTAATTACGATACGTTCAAACAATTCAACAAGTTCTAACAAGGCTTAACTGGATGGAATTTTTTTTTAACAAGGCTTAACTGGATGGAAATTTTTTTTTTAAGAATTAAAATGAAAAGAATTACAATGGGACTTTCTAATTTAAAAGGAAAAAAAAAACCACCATCAATCCACTTGTTTTTTAATTTTTCATTATAATTTGGAGTCTTGTGACCATATGCATTTTCATAGAAATTATGATACCAATCCTAGTAAGAGCTAATCGTCAATTCGAAGCTAATGCTTCCTCTCAACATTCCTAGGGTCTCTTCAATGAATATAGTTAACTCAAGCTACAAATTAATATAGAATTCTTATATTTTGTTAAATTAATACCCCAGTTAAGAGGTAATGGATAATTATATACAGTAGAATGATAGAACAAAGAAGGGAGAAAAAATTTAGGCTGCGGTTGGTTTAGTATTTTCGGGCCATTTTCCGTTTTCCATTTTCGAAAACGAGTTAAAATTTATAATTGAAAACGCAAAATGACTTTTTATCATTTTGAACGTTTTCAGTTATAAATTCCCAAAACATGGAAAATGCCCAAAACGTGCCATTTTCGAGGAAAACTAAAAATCGTTTTGAAACCGAAAATGGAAAATGGAAAACTAAACCAGCCGCACCCTTAACAATTAAATTTTACTCTCTAAAAGTACCTCATTGAAGAGCATGTGTTTGTTTTTGTTAAGAAAATCCAAAAGCTCAACCAAAAAGCTTCAATAGTAAAATTAAATAAATGAGAAGAACACTAATCCAGCTAACACACTCAAATTCAACAATAATGAATCATCATACTAAATAAATTTTAAAACAAATATGAAAACACATTACAACAAAATTGGCACCTGTAAGTGTCGAAAGATGAACAGAAGATCGTAGAATATAGAGATGGAGGGCCAAGTGTGAGCAAAATCAGTAGAACTCCTAATGACCTTTTGGAAGCATAGGTAAAATTATCAAGCAAACTACAATTTTGATTGTTCAAAAGAACACCGGAATATGTTCTAGTTGACATTCATATGGTCAACACGATAGAATACAAAGAAATCATAAAGTGTATGAGAATGAGATAAGGATCTCAACATGACTGACCTTATTAGCACTTTCATGTCCACTAAGAATTCCTCTTCCCACCTTTTGAGAAGCTTTCTCAAAATTTTCAATTTTCTAAAGGAGAAATAAACAACATCAACCATTTGTTAGTATTTAAAGAAGATCCCCTATTAATTATTAACTTTTTAATGATTAAAAAAATATTCATATATAACGAAACCGTTAATCACTAAAACCGTTGAATTAAACTATAGAGTGCAAAGGAGTATTTGAAGAATTCTAACATTCTCATGTGATGATAATTTATCATTCACATTATAATATAAATCTGTTCCCTCTTGTGAAAATTTCCTTTTGGCTTCCTCCACAAAATTGTGATAACTAATATTACACAAGATAATTAATAAAAATATCTTACGTTTTACATGTGTAGTGTGTGGTGACATTTTCCCTAAAAATCCTTACGTTGACTGAAAACGAGTATTACTATTTATTTCCTTGTAGAGATTCGCACAAACTAGTATATAAATACCACTGTTCATTGCAATTTTCTATTTGCTCTAATTTCTCTGTCTCCCTTCTTCATCGTCTTCCTTAAAGATGCCTGATATTTCGTACCTTTTACCATTTGTTTTCACCTCGACTGTGATGTTTTTGTTGATTCAATATCTTTTGAAAAAGAGGGGGGAATAGATATGCAGAATTGGAACAAAATGAGCTGCCAGTCATAAATTGTCAACCACCGCCGCCGCCGCCATCATTACCAACTTCAACTCGATCCCAGATGACAAAAGGGAGGACGGATGAAATAGTCGCACATCGAACAAGAAGGTGAAGATCATGAATGCTCTATTTGTCTATCTGAATTCAAAGACCAAGAATTGTTCCGGTGTCTTCCGGCATGCAACCGTGGATTTCACTTCGAATGCATCAAAACATTGTTGGATATCAGTCAAACCTGCCCATTGTGCCGCCGGAGTACTGTCATTGAACCATGATTCTTGTTTTTCTTATATTACAAATCTTGAACTTTTTCTTTCGATTTTGATCCTAGAAAATGAACACGATGTTTAGTTTCTGAAAGTTACTGAGAGTGAGAGATGCTTTCACCATAAGAAGTGTAGTTATGAATGAAGACACATCAATAAAGTTTTTTTGTTTTTGTTTATTTTATTGTATTGTCCTTTAATTTTGTGACTAATGAATCGCGTCTTCTTGGATTTTTTTCAAAAAGCTCCGTTTAGGTAGAAAATAATTTATAAATTCAGTTCAAATCAAACAAAAATTTTAAATCATGATGACCACGATGTAAATGTACACGATGTAAATCTACATGTGTAAATTTACATTTACATTTACATCGTGTTCATCGTGAGAGTAAACGTAAATGTAAATGTGCACGTGCACATTTACATTTACATCATGTTCACCGTGAAAGTAAATGTAAATGTACACGTGTAAATTTACATTTACTTTCACGATGAACACGATATAAATGTAAATGTGCACGTGCACATTTACATTTACATTTACTTTCACAATGAACACGATGTAAATGTAAATGTGCACGTGTAAATTTACATTTACTTTCTGATGAACACGATGTAAATGTAAATGTGCACGTGTTCATCAGAAAGTAAATGTGCACGTGTAGATTGGATTCATTTATTCATCGAAGGTCCAACACGTGCGCAATTTTCATAAATTTCTGCCGACAAGACTTGGAATTACCATGTAAAAATATCATCTTGACTTAGGGGCAGGTGGATTGTGGATACACTGAATCATCTAATTTAAATAGACAATTTAGCCTTTCCAGCATTAGCTTTATGAGACCATTCAATGGTTTTGACAGGCACTAACCAAAATAAAACTAACAGTGATAAACCAACAAGGATGGAAAATCATTTACTTTATGATGAACACGATGAACACGATGTTTAAAGGATGGAAAATCATTTACTGAGAGTGAGAGATGCTTAAAGAATGGAAAATCATTTACTTCTTGATGAACACAATGAACACGATATCTAGTTTCTGAAAGTTACTGAGAGTGAGAGATGCTTAAAGGCAAAAGCAGTAAATGATTTTCCATTGTTTCACTCCCCAACTAATTAGTAATTACTAATTAGTATCCATGGCAGAATAAGGATGGAAAATCATTTACTGCTTTTGCTTCAAAAATAAGATAATATGATTTAGAATGTGGAATTCATTTATTTGATTTTAACTATGCATTTTCATTCTTGCCTTTAATGATTGATTATACTTAAATTAAAGATTCAGTAACCATTCCTCCATTAGGATAAGGATGAAAAAGTGGGACTCAAAAAACATTGACATCTTGAGTTTAAAAAAATAGCGAAAAAAAAACTACCGCATAATTAAAAACAATATCTTTTGCTAAAAGTTGATCACACAATATTACCATGGGCGATTAAAGACTTTTTTACCTAGAATTGTTAAAGTATAGTTAATCTAATCCCATTTCTGAAGTTCCCAAATAAAGCCTCTGAGCAGAAATATTTGACATTCCTTAAGATTCCCATTTCTTTTTGTTTTTATGAATAGGCACAATATATATAATCAATGTAATCCAAGGAATGAAACTCGATCAAAACCATCTTCAAGACATGCTATTTTCCAAATGAAAGAGGGGTGAAATTTAGGACCAATAATTAGTGTGTATATTGCAGAATGCAGTTAATAATATTGCATGATTAAATGTAAAACACTGAAATGAACAAAATATATCAGCTCGATCATGATGTTCTTCAATTAAATTCCATAAGAAAGAAAATTTTCTATGAAAGACACGTACCAATCGAGAAGAATCAGATAGAGGAATAAAAAAGATTAACCTTTTTGTGAATAGAATCATAATCATTAAATACAGCATAAGTTCTCTTTCAAATATATTTCTCCAAAAGTGAAGATGCATATGATAATACCATTACCTTTAACCTTTACAATCTAAAAAAAAAAAAAAAAAAAAAAAAAAAAAAAAAAAAAAAAAAAAAAAAAAAAAAAAAAAAGGAACCAAAACAACGAAAGAATACAAGTAAACTCATTTGAAGGATTTGGTGCAAAATTGTCAAGTTAATGGCGTGTTTTTTGGGTCATAAATTAAGGGCGTGTTTATTGGATTAGATTTAGCATCATAGATAAATGATACCTGTATTGTTTGGTTAACTTTTAACATATCCATTTTACTATATATAGAAAAAAGTATTTATAGTTAAAAGAAGTTGAAAAGTATAAATTTAAATATTTATTTGAAAATAGTTATGTGGCATAATTTCCTCTTCTTTGAAAATGGTTGACTTGTGTACTCGCGGATGTATTGAGCCTAGTTCATGGATACAAACTGAGTTCGAATGTTTAAGAATCGAATCGAGCAGGCTCGACAGGTTGCCACACTTGAAAAATAAGGTGAATAGTCCAATATTTTCTTAAAATAAGGTGAAATGAATACTTGGTTAAATGGAATATTTGAAATAGATAACTATTAAATATAAGAAGAAATTTGCAACAAGCTTTAGATTGACTCCACGATCTAAATAGAATAACGTTGATCAATATCGATAAAGTTATCGAGATTGTTTTGTTTTAAAAGATTACTTGATAATAGTGTGCTATAAAAAACTTGTCACATTAGATCGATTATGTCGTGTAATTGTTGGAAATGGCAGTAATCAGGTCAAACATTTTTTTATCAATCATGAATACGAATATAGATATAAAATTAATTAAGCTTATCGAATACTATATATGGCACGAGCTATGTTTGAGGCCAAAACTCATGGGTTGGCCCATTGAAGTTGGCTTCTACTATTTTTTTCAAAAGTAACCAGAAAAAAAAAAAAAAGAAAAAAAATTTATGTAACAATTGTAGATTGAGAAGGTAGACTTGTATGGAAGAAAATGAAATAGTGGAGGAGGTTAATATAGAATGAATGAATGATCCTTTTTTAAAAAGGAGCAAAATTCATAAATAAATATGACTACTGGGCAAAACAACCAAAAAAATGTCATGTTTCGTGCCTCACGGTTTCATTTTTGACCTTTTGGATCGTCAAATGTTCACACTGACCAAACTTGTGAAAAATTTTCGAGCTCGACCCGATTGTTAGCTCGTCTACATGTTCAAACAATCCATGTGCTGAATAAAGCCGAGAATACGAGTGGCTTGTTCCATTTGCAACCCCTTTAGAGACTTGGTGTATCAAACATACTTCGAGACTGCAATACAAAACAATATTCAATTTCACTGCTCACCAACATTTGAGATCATCATGTAGGTTCTTGGAACTTTTTTTTTAATGCTTATTAAGAAATATTAAATATATTTTACTATAAAAATATAAATTTAATTTTTATTTTTATAAATAGTTTCTCTTAAAATGTAAAATAGTCAAATATTTCCATTCTATTTTCTTGCTTTTACCAACTAATAAGACTTGTGCGGTTTTATGTAATTTTATATTTCCATTCCAATATTCTTCCTGAAATGATAATCAATTCCAGTTTTATTCATTTATTGCCACAAATTTGAGGGTTTTACTCCAACCATTCCTAGTAAAAAGTGTAAATGAGTCGGCTTTAATTCTGTTTAATGTTTAAATTAGCTCTTAACCAGCTAAATATAGGATTTATTTTCCAACATATCTTATTATGTTTCCATGCACGAAATATGCACACTAATATCAATTGCCAATCCTGCATTCACTATTATATTTGATTTAATATTCAACGTGTAATGAGCATTATAACATAGAAATCAGTTTTTAAATTGGCTTGCGAAGAGAAGAATCTTGAACGATTATAAAAAAAAAGTGCAAGATAAATCTTAACTAAACGATATGGAATTCAATTATAGTCGTTCAAATATACTATTCATCCATACATGACATCCTGGTGCGTGCTGTCGTAGGCACTCTAAATTAAAACCTATACTCCTCAAAAAAATGTAGTATTGGAAGTAAGGGTTGATCCCATGAAGAATGTTTAGTTCATCTTTTACGCAATATTAACTAAAAAGGGGGGTTTTGGGTTTGAAACAAGTAACTATTAAGAAAAGCAATTATTGTCAACGCAAACTACCAAACTAAATGAAATCAATATAACCAACCTTGATCTAAGTCAACATCCACTATTGGAAATTCATAACCGGTCATTGATCCACAAATAATCATTAATTCATAATTGTAGCATTCATTGTGAAAAATAAATTTTCCATTCGAAACAAATTCTTTTATTTTCCCTTACTTTTAATTAATTAGAAACAAGCGATCCAATTAATCCTCATTATCAAACAATCCTAGACAAGCGCGAGAATTTAATTTAATAATGGCTTTGCGAATTAGAGAAATCAATAAACTAGATAACACAATCCAAGCATTTCCATTTAACCTAGATAAATCTTCTCCCTAAGATTTAATAATTTCCAATCAACAAATTATCAATCTTAGTTGCTTCACAAGTTAAACCAATCAACAATTACAGTTTTGAAATTCAACTTGCTCATAGATTATTGAGATTAATAAACTAACTTGCACTCTAGAAATCAAACACAACACTCATAAAAATAAGCGCAGAAGAAGATTTAAGGGGTGTTTGATGCCCATTTTCTTGTAAAAATGCATTTTAGAATAGTAAATTGATGGAAAATGTGTGCTTGAAAAATAAAGAAGATTTTTTTTTATTTCTGTGTAATATTATTTTAATCAAACAAAAACCTAAAAGTATTTTCATATTTTTGAAATTGTTCAAATCTTAACCTAAGCGAAGAAGGAGCTTGATCAACTATATTTAAAAAATAATCTACTCTAAATGATTCATCGGCTGAATGTGTTCTCTCGTCATTAACATTTTCATCAAAGTGCTTCTTTCTCTAAATAATACATCTTTCATGAAATGTAGGTTCAACTTCCATTTGATCAATAATTTCTTTAGCAGTAATTTTGTCAGATTCAAATCCAATTTCTCTATATGTTTCAAAAAATGAAATAAGTGCTTTCATCTAACTAACAACAGTATCAATAGACATATCTGCACGTTGCAACATTTTACTTAATCTATTAATAGCAGACAGTATATTGTACCAAATAACTATGCCAAACAAGAACTCAAAATCCATAATGTCAGAAAATAAGCTTTGAGCATCTCTATATGCCTTAGGATCATCACATGTTTCCACCAAGTGTTTTAAAGTAGCTTTTATTTCTAGTGCTTGAAATCTTATTGCTTTAACACTTTCGACTTGACTTTTCCAACGTGCTTGTGATAGTAGCTTAAGCTTCAGACCTTTCACATTGTCTTGAAAATTTTTCCATCACTTTGTAGAAGATGAAAACAATATATATATGCATTGTACAATTCCAAAAAAAGATTTAGCCTTTATACAAGAATTTACCATATCACAAAGTGCAAGATTAAGGCTATGACAACCACATGGTGTGTAAAATGCCCTTGGATTTACTTCTAGTACTCTTTTTTGTAAAACTTTATGCTTCCCTTTCATATTAGAACCGTTATCATAACCTTTACCTCTTAAATCACCAATATTAAGTTCTAATGTTTACAAAATATCTAATAATTCACCAAACAATCCTTGCCCCGAAGTATCATCCACCTTAAGGAATCCTAAAAAATATTCTTGTACTTTTACTAGTGTTACTACGACATCTACATATCGTATTATGAGTGACATTTGTTCTTCGTGACTTATATCTGAAAAATATATTTTGCTTCTCTAACATTTTGAATGATTGCACTTTTGATTTCTCCAGCCAACGTGAGTATGAATTCATTTTGAATTTTGTGACAAAGATAATGATAATGAATTTCTTTTTCTTGAATACGACGGACGTGTTCTCTCAAAATTGGATCGAACTCTACAATCATTTCAATTAGACCTAAAAAATTCCCATTATCTTTTTCATAAATTTTCTCATTAGTCCCCCGAAATGCCAGATTATTCTTGCATAGAAAGCCAACAATAGAAATTATCCTCACAAAAACTTCTCTCCAATGTTCTCTATCTTAGTTGATTAGATCTTGCATAGCTTTATCAATTGTTAGATTCTGTTGTAATCTCCATTCCAATTCAATCCATCTTCTCATGTTATGCATGTGTCCATTACTAGTTTCATGACTTTTAAGCCTGAAACTAAGATTTTTCCAATCATTGATTCCTTCATTAGCTAATTGAATATTGTTTCCTTCTTGCTTAAACAATTTACAACAAAAGCAAAATACTTTATCCAATGAAATTGAGTAGACCAACCATTTTCTATCACTCTTCTCACCATTTGTTAAATGCCGAATATAATACGTAGAAGAGAAATGGCTATTTTCTGAATCTTTTGGAAAAATAAAACCATCCTGCCCAAGGGGGCCTCTTTTCACTAACAAGTCTATCAAGCTTTGATCAATAGTTTTCCAATTTCCCGGATCATTAATGTCAAAATGCATAGCTACACATTTTTTCAATTTCCTCCAAATTTTCTTGCTCATGATCCACTGAGATTTCATGCTCTCTATTCATATTATCTTCACTTTGAACCTTTTCATTTTCAAATTCTTCATCAACCAAATCTTTCATCGGACTCCTCTTTTATTATTAATATTACTACCAAGAAACTTGTCCATAGCTCCTACTTGAGATTGAATGAATTCTTCAATTTTTTTTTCTTTTTTCTGTTTTCATGTCCAGACAAATACTCTCTAGTAGACATATTAAAGCATTCAACAAAACAAAATCAATACAAAAATATTAGATTAAACTTTAAATTAGTTGAGGAACAATAAAACATGGTCCATGCCATTTTTCCTTTATTGTGTGCGCATAAGAGATGGTTGCAGCCTCCAAGTTTGCTGATGAGTGATGCCTCCAATAACGCTGTGTGGATGGTGGGAAAAAAAAGTGAGACAAAAATGGTAGATGGCATTATTCACATATGTAATCTATTTGCTAGCCTGCACTTTTGGATTATGCATAAACAATTTGAAAATGAATTGAAAACATTAAGTTTTGAAATTGATTAATGATTACCAGATTTTGTTAAAGAAAAATGAAATGGCAATGAGAGAAGACTCATGTTGTATGCTAATATCTTCAAAATTAAACATTCAAAGAGAGAATTAATTTTATGTTGGGTTTAAAAAAATTAATGGTAAGTGACTGTTGGAGTGGAATTTGAAGAGACAAAAAAGACGTTTTGTCTTTTAGGGAAAAGAAAAGGAATGTTTGGAAGATAAATTGTCAAATTAGTTATATAGAGAGATAAAGTTATGATTATAATATATTTACACAATAAATACATGTTAGTATTTATAAATTTATAGGTTTTTAGAAAAAAAATTGCATTTTTTATTTTTATTTATTTCTTGTGTTCACATACGACAATTCTATTTTAAATAATTTCACTAATATAATTTTTTTTCTTCGACTAGCCATAATCTTACAGAATTTGGGGGCCTTCGTCAAAGTGGGGCTTTAGGCGATTGCCTACCTCGCCTATACTCAGGACCACCACTGCAATCGCTTGTGCTTGCAAATGGTGGAATATGGTCACCAAAACCTAAAATCTCAGCTGTGTTTAAAATGAAATAAAAATAATAAAAATAATAATTAATAAAAAAACAACATTAAATAATAAAATTTCTGCGTTTCTTAACAATAACAGGGTAATAAATGCAATGACAACAGGATCTTATAGTCAAAAGTTGGGACCAAAATATTGGTAGCTGTTTCTTCAAAGAGGGTAATTTATTCTGTCACTGATGCAGTGATGCTCAAGGATTTAATTTAGATTAGGGATAATTGCATCAGCGATCCCAAGCCTTTCGATTTTTCGCAGACTTACCTTAATCTTTACTTTGTGTGATTTACGGTCTCAAACCTTTCAAAAATTAGCAACCTTGATCCACATAGATGATTTCCGTTAGTTTGACTATTTGTTGACCCAATAAATTTGACTTTGACCAATTTTAAGATGGATTAATTGGTAACTTTGAATTAAGTCCTTGTTTGATACTCGTTTTTCTCTCTTCTTTTTAACCACATATTCTTCAATAAAAAATAAATATTACATACAAAACTTTTTTTTTTTAATTTCTTAACCACACATTCTTTACCAATTAAGTATTTCGAAATACGTTCTTATTAAAGAATGGAAAACAAATAGGGGCTAAAAATAAAAATCAAAATCACAACCTAATCACTATTTATTTCTCCCACCTACTCAAAATCAGTTAGTCCTGTTTTACCCCTTTCCGCCACCATCACCTCTGCCGCCCTCCTCCAACTCCGTCGTCATGGTATGCCAGCTGCAAAGAGGCCTTGTGCTACTGTTGCTAGGGATTTGGGGGCACTACTGTTATTAGGGGTAGAAGAATTAGGGTTTTGTAGGTGGGGCAAATTGACAAATTCTCTCTCCAGATATGAAGATATGTAATAATAGTTAATTATTTCTAAATCCTATAAGTTTGTAGACTGAATTGTTTACTAGGATTTTATTACCGCATATAGAAATGCGGAAGCTAAAAATTGCGGAGGGAGGGAACCCATGGTTGCACAGTGTGAACGTTCATGTTGGTAGGCAAATCTGGGAGTATGATTTGAGCTCTGGGTCCCCGAAAAAGCCGGCAGGGATTGGGAAGTTATGTGAGGAATTTCCCAGCTAGAGATTTGAGAAAAAGCACTCCTCCGATTGTCTCATGAGATTTCAAGTTCAGCGAGGCATTATTTAGCTATATTTTTTATGGCCTTAATGAGGTGGGGTATGGGTGTGGAGATGGGGGTGGAAGTGGGGATGGGGATGAGTGTGGGCGGGAGAAATGAATAGTGATTAGTTTTTAATTTTTTGATTTTTATTTTTAATTCGAAATTACCATTTTACCCATTTTAAAATCAAAGTCAAATTTATTGAATAAACTAACGGTCAAACTAACAAAAAAATCATTCATCTGGACCTACTAATTTTTGAAATGTTTGAGATAGTGGGTGGTACAGAGTGAAAGTTAAAGTAAAGTCTGTGAAAAATCGAAAGGTTTGGAACCGCTCCTATAATTATCTCTTTAGATTACTATCATTAACTAGTCACAGGTTTTAACCGTCAATTGCGTGGTAATAAATGCAATATACGAAGAAGATCATATTAATATTCACATGTGAAGGGACCGAAAAATGGGTTGCCGATTCCAAAAAAGGTACACTGAGTCACCAACACATTTATCCTAAGACTGTGCCTCAAGGAATAAGTTTTTACATAATAAGAAAATCTATAAGGATCATGCTTTGAAATTCAAATTTTTTAGCAACCACTGCGTGTTTTTTCAAGATATGAGCAAACTGTAGTGGTGTATCTAATCTGCTAGAGGAGTAAAATTGTGGCAAGTAGTAGTTGTTAAGGTAGTCGTTGCTGTCTATGTAAGCAGTGTACAAGAACGTCTTAAGATGATCTTTCGCTCGATCCATAACTCCAAGTAAAAGGACAAGGCTTGATACTGTGGTTCGATGGTTTTGCAACTGCATGATTAGGCTCAAACGATCACCCTACAAGAATGAAACACCATAAATCCGCTATTATCTAAATACACATGTGCACACGCCAATCATTATTACATCTACTTAAAGATGCCTTAGAGGTACCTTCATAAAATGTAATCATTTCTACTTATAAATAAATAAAAGAAAAATTATGCTACTTGTACATAAAATGATACATAAGAAGTTACATAAAAAGTTGTGGATGGAAAACAACTGTGTTTTAAACTAATAAATGATAAAATGATATATAGTATTATGTAACCCATTATACAAAACTTGATATATATGTTGCAAGGTCAATAAAAGAACATGTGCAAATATATTTGAAAATAAGGTCCTTAAAAGTAAGAATAATTTTAGTTTTGCTTAAGCTTAGGCAACATGCTCTTAGTTGTCCTTTTGATGCAATAATTAGGGGCAGATTTAGGGGCTGATGACCTATGGCGGCCATCATAGCTGTATTTGTTGGGGAGATATTATTTTTTTTTAATAGATAGAATTTTTAGATTATGTATTTTATAATTTATATTAATAATAAATATCTCTGTTAGTTTAATTGGTTAATCCTTTCATTATTGAATTGGAGGTCTTGTGTTTGAAACTCTTCAAAAGCAATACTTTTTATAATTTTTGTATTTCAACAAGTTTTACCAAATCAAATGCAAGAAATGTGATTTGAACTTGCTACATTCCTTAAACATATTGACCTGCTTTACCATCATGACACTTAATGATTTTTAGCACATAATGTAACAAAATAATATACGTTCAATTTTACTGGTTTAATGCAAATAGAAATATTTTAACTGGTGCTTTGTACCTCTACTTGATTTTTTTCCCTCTAATCGATTTGAGAGTTTGGCCAATTAATGGTGGATGATTTGAAGGAAAATTGGCCTTAGTATCATAAAGAATCTTTCAACAATACTTATTTAATTAATAAAATGTTCCACTTTTCGTTCACAAAAAAAATTGATTGCGAAAAAGTAAAATCATACAAGCACATAAAATTGATTTTAACACATAAATAATTTCAATTTTGTTAATATAATAATGCTTGCTTAATTAACTTTAATTGTAAACTAAATATTGGCATTTTGTTAATATATATTGCCTATTTAATTGAAAAATAAATTAGAGCATTTTGTAGATTATGGAACAATTTTTTCATCCAAAATGCTAGTTCGTATCTAGTTCTTCTACTTCTAATCCGTACGATTTTTTTTAATATTATTTAATTAAATATTAATAAATAATCCTGCTATCAAGGACGTTGGCAGCTAATAGTAATTGGAGTCGACTATACAAACTTCTACTTCTTCTCTTCATTAAATTTACTCCTGTACATATTAAATTATTTAGCTCTTGCTCGACAAACTTTATAATGAGAAATTTGGATAAAATGTGTTTTGACATAGTAGTTTTTGGGAGAATTTATGGTTAAAAAAGAATGAAAAGTTCTTGATTTACGTGTAATATTATTTTATTGAAGAATGTGTGGTTAAAAAGAAGAGAAAAAAATGTATTAAAATTTTAAAGGGGATCAAACAACGACTTAATAGTAGTAAACCAGCCTTGTAATTTGTTCAAATTATTAAAAAGTTTTGGATACTTTCCAAAATGGAATGTCGTGTAATAATTGATGGAAATTGCCGGGAAAAAGAGAATGCAAAATAAGCATGAGGTTGAACTCCCTTTTGTAGTGCTTCACTTGAACCTCTTAGCATCTGTCGGTGGCCCAAATTGACAAGCCGAGGAGCCTCACAGGTTTTATGAAGGTTGTTAGAACTAGCCATTATGCTTACTTTGGTTTTTTTTTTTTTTAATGAAAAAATGGTTTTTCATAAACAATTTATTAATTTGTGGAGTCTAATTGTTGTCACTTTGCGAAACTGGTAGAGGATTGACCTCCGTCGTACTC